TTCACAAGCCTTCTGGGGCAAGCACTGAGTATACAGTGTTGTAATACACGTCGAGCAGGGCAAAAATCCAAAATTAATTAACATCTCCCCGGCAAAAAAATCCATCCTTGGAAATAATTAATCCGGTCGATGCAGGAAGTTTACCGGGCTAGATTTCTTAAGCGATGCATCCTTTGAGCTGACCAATGTTTCCTTGTCCCATACGGTTTTACAAATTTAAGTAAAGCAGAGCGTCACTGTGAGCGTATTGATCCTTACATGGTTAGAGATTAATATTGAAACTTAAATGATCACGTTAATTACGGAGCAAATGTTAATATGGATCGTCAACTTAAAAAGAAGACTATATCTTTACTGATTGCCATACCTCTGTTTTGGATACTCTCCGTTTATTGGCCAAGAGCTATCACATGACAGGGTGACATATCCACCTCATAAATATTCATGAGTAAATCGGAGGGCGTCATTGGCCGATTCCACCTCGCGTCTGGGAATTAAGTAGAAATAATACGCTACTAGGTGACGTCATAGCGGTGAGTATCCAACCACCTCGCTGGCGTGCGTTAGTTTACGTCTGTTACGTTAATTGTACAGTTTTACAGTAGGCCCATCGTCTTCTGAAATACAGAGCTTGTTTCTTTGGACAAATTCCTCAAGACAGAGGTATGACAAAACAATTGTTGACCGCTGTGGTGTGGGATATGACGTCGTCGAGGGCGCTATGCGTGGCCAAGGGTATTCAAAGCGTCATATCCCACACCACAACGGTCAACAAAGTTTTGTCATACCTCCGTCTTGGATACTGTCCGTTTATTGACCCAGAACGATCACACGACAGGGCGATATATCCGCATATCACACTCACCGTGAGATATCCGTTTCTGCCGATAGTGCGAGCACGCGCACGCGCGCGAGACAGAAGAGCTTCGGGAAGCTCGAGTGCGAACATTACCGCACCTTTAGCCACTTTTGCGTGGTACCCATGATAGTTTTGTGCTTATGCTACCAGGAAATTCGATCAATGATCGCGCTCTTGTAACAGACTCGTTCCACGTCCACGCAGCGTATATACGGTAATACGGGAACCGCTAATGTACTCATTGGTACCTGCACTAGTTTCACATTAAAGTTTACGCAATTAAAGGAAGTGAGGGAACAATGAATTTGCAGACGATCATCGTTTACTTCTGTTTAATTTAACAAAGCACTTGGGCATGGCTCTATTCAAGGCTTTGTCTACTTTATTTAGGCCTAGCGTTTCCTCGGGATTGTCCATATCTTCCTGCCAGTTTCATTATCCCCCAGATGTAGGTAGCTTGACAAAACTCCTTGTAAGTGTCAGAAAAGGCTTGCTGAGTGCCCAGAGGGTCTTCCTGTTTGTCTTATCCCAGGTTTCATCTTCACCATACCCTCGTTGGTGTACTTGTCATATTTCTCTAGTCTTACCTAAATAATCTTGGTAGGTCACATGGACGTAAATCCCAGGGGATGGGGGTATATCCCCCACCTTTTTTTTGGGGGGGTGGGGTCTTGAATCCTCCCCACCTTTTGTTGTTGAGCAAAAAATTAAAGCTGAATGTGGAGAATTGACGGACTTCCCAACGACTAAAATGCATTCAATATCACTCGACAAGGTCAGCTACTAAAACGCTATAAAAATGTCGTTCTGATATAAGATTCTGCATGAATGTAACTCAACTTAAAGATGTACATCTGTTTCATGAACATCGCCCCTGTAGTGTCATATAGCGCTAAACTCCCTTTACAAATTAGATTCCACTTTTCACCATTTACCTTGCTCTCATGCCTCTGCAGATTAAATTTCCGTTCAAAAAGCTGCACTTGTGACAAGCGTGATGTTTGACTGCAAAATATTATTCGTGATCTTTGAAGGTTCTCTGAATGAGCAGGATTGGACAGGTCAAATAATAAAATAGCAAACAGGAGCACCGGAACAACAAAAAGAGCCAAGAGGGGCCTCACTCTCTCATTAAGGCCGTAAAAGGTTAGGAGAAGAATTTCCACGTGTTTGCCCCCTCCCCCAAAGCCAACTTTGGCCTGTAGGCCCACAGCGTCAAAATTTAATACCATTTCATTCTTTTTCTTGGGGCTGTAATTTTCATCACTTCGCAATTTTAATCACTTTGCCTGCCGCCATCAGCTCACCTTGAAACACATTTAGCATGTATTTAATAATAATAATAATAA